CTAAGCTCAAGCTTGTCGGATCCGAGGTCACTGCGACGCTCGACGCATGGCAGCCTGGTACTACCGACCAGCGTCGCAGCTTATGGGATGAAGAGACGTTGGAAATGGACGCCTCGAGCAGTGCTAATCAGATCACTCACGAAGTTACATCTCGCCTATACGGACGAAACGATGCGGTGGCCCGAGTAGTCACAAGCTACGAATCGTGGCGCCATCTTATAGACAATGTTGGTGATTCGATCGAGCAACTTAAACGTCAACGCTGGGATAACGACGTGGATGAGATAGAGGACGAAGATGTTATTACAGAGCGCCAAAAACTATTGAGCAAGGACGATCCCGAGTTGTTACAAAACAAGCTTAATGGAGCTATCACAGCAGCATTTAAGGACCTCGATGAGCACCTAGTAAGCGTCTGGAAGTCCAAACTGGAGAGCACAGACAATGGCCCTATTTCCATGTACATTATAAGAATTCTTAGGGATATCCGTGGCGGATTACCTAAGCTTGAAGGTGTCAAGTCTTTCGGCTTGGAAAGCGTTCCATCCTTACACGAGAAGCTCGCAGCTCATGTTTCAATATCACCCCTTGAAGAATTCGCTTCAACAGCTCTAACGCGCAACCGAGTGGCTGGCCGAGCTCTATGGGAAGGGGAACCTGCCTTACCGGCTCAACCGTCCCCCGGCACGTTTAAACTCTTAGGTAATCTCATCATGGCTATGGGAGACGCCGGTTTAGACCTCTGGACGCCAACCGCTGTGAATGTTCTTAAGCGAATCTTTGGTAGACAGCTCGTCGAAGTATGGCGCAAGGAACTTGGCAATTCTGTGACAGCAAACAGCCAAGAAATATACGAGACAAATGAGGAAAAACAGTCAGCGGAAGAGATAGGGGAGAACCCTACAGAAACCACCACAGAAACCACCACAGAAATCACCACAGAAACCGATGAGGGTCCATCAGCAAAGGAAGAGTCCACTGAGGAGAAGTCTGAAAAGAGCAAGGAGGTTCTCATCCAGTGGCTATACGATATTCACCTTCTCCAACAATGTCTTGGCACCGACGTCTACTCGGAAGACTCATTTAAGGAATTCACGGAGGAAGTATTTAATAGGACCGGACTAGAGAGTAGTGCTAAAGATAGGCTGGAAAAAGCATCTCAAGAATATTGGAAGAGGACAAGCTTGCTATTCGGGCTGCTTGCATGATACCCATAAAAAGAACTCATCAGCCATACAGAAAATAGAAATATCTAATACACCCAAAACTCGTCTCCGGTGTTCATAACTTATGTCTCTTCTTTCCCGACGCGATTTTCTCAAACTCCTGCTGCGGAATTCCACTGACGAACCTATCCAGGCCGGCGAAAACCTCGGCCACATTCTGCTTCTCTTGGGTATCTCTATACGGCTTCTGTATCAACGCCTTGATACCTAGCAGGCTATCGCTATTCAAATGATCGCCCATCGTATCGTCAATCTCCTTCATAACCTGCTTCAAAAAGCCATCGCTATCCCCCTTCGCGCAATCAAACACCTTGTTTACAAATCCAGTGCGCACGAGGTCCTCACACGAGATCCTTTTGGATTGGATAAGCGCCTCGTTGGCTTTGCTTATCCCTAGCCGCTGCACCATGGCATGCGAAGCGCCTCCTTCGGCGACGAGACCTAGGGATGAGAAGGGCATTAGCAGAAATGTGTGCGGCGCGCAGTACACGAAGTCGGCGTGCGCGGTCATCGCTGCTGAGAGCCCGACTGCTGGCCCGTTAAGCGCGGCGATTAGGATCTTGGGGTGCGTGTATAGCGCCCGTGTTAGGTTCAGGTTGTTGGCTGCGAAGTCCCGTAGCCAGCGCATGTAGACGTCGGCCTCGGAGGGGTCCGAGTCGGCGTCGGGCTTTTTGGAGCCGATGGAGACGTCCGCGCCGCTGGAGCAAAAAACTGTAAGTCATGTGGTAGTGTATCGGGTAGATATATAGACGAGGTGGACTTACGCGGAGAAGTATCGGCCCTTGGCTGTTAGTACTGTGATGTATATGTCGTCGCGCACGGCAACCTCGCGTAGTGCTTTGGCTATGGCGTAGTAGCCTTGGAGGCCGAGAGCGTTGAGCTTCTTGTCGTTGTCGATGGTGATGGTGGCGATGCGGCCGGCGTATTGGAGTTTGATTAGGTCGGCCATTGCTGTAATTACCTATTGCTGTAGCTACCTACCTGTACATATATACCAGTTAAAAATATTAAAGTCTATCTATATCAACCCGGGGAATTGGACCTCGTATGTATAAATAAATACCTTTAAGACGGCGGAAGGTGTTATTACCTTGGTTCTGTGGAATGGCTTCCTTTTGATAGGTGGGAGCGGGTGCTTTCCCTTGTAAGAGAGAGATTCCTAAGCAGCTAAGATCCCCGCGCCCCACATGTTCCAAGGGCTATTCCAACTATATTAAGCGGGTACCTCGGTTGTTTGTAGGTGGTAGTAGCCCTGACCCGCCTTGTAACCATCCCGCGCCTCAACTTCCCAGCTTCCCCAAGGTTTTACTCCAGACTCGGCATTGTCGGTTAGAGCGTTACGATATTGGATCTTAGCTGCTTGGGTGACTAAGGTACGTTTCCGTTAAGATTCCTTTTTGTATGATAGTACAACATTAAGCTACATGAGGTTAGGTACCTACCTAAAGCTTAGCCCAGGGGTACAAGTACCTAGGTATTCCGACCTCAGCAAACGGCGTGTTTGTTGTATTCCATATTGTTCAATTCGCATAATGATATTTCATTCACTCTGAGATGTTTGATAATTTATATTTAATTTTATTAGACTCTAGATTGATAAGCTGACATATTATAACTAACTTATAAAAGACATATGTCTAGGTTAAGGAATTACATCGGAGAATAAACCGGTTCGAGGACGTACAATTCAGAATACAGTATCCGTACATGCATTCGCTCACCGATAATTCAAAGCAGCTTCGCCAATACAATACCATATTCTATTCTTACAAGCTAATTCCTACGGCATATTAAGCTCATCTACGATTCTACATGCATTGTCTGCAAACATGTTCTTCCCCCAGCTGCTTCGTCAAGGGCCTCGTCTCACTACAATAACACGCCTGTCTCATCTCACACCGAGACCCCTAGTACGCTTCTCAAGTACCGGAGCACAGGCCAAGCCCTTCTCAACCGGTACCGTGGCTGTTTCCTTCGCTGCTGGACTAGTATCAGCTACAACTGTGTACTGGTTTACCTCTCGTAGCAGCCAGACCCGGACCCCAGGTCCCGCAGGGGCATCTAGTGCTTTAAATGGCAAGGGCAATAATATTCCGGACCTAAATAAGCTGGGCTTGTCCGATCAGATTGCTTATAGCCCCATTCCCACTTCGGAGGACGTCACGCGCCAGTTGAACGAGCATGCTTTCTCCGTACCTGGAGGAGGGAAGCCGGTGAGGAGATACGACGGTGCTCAGTTGGCTTCTAATAGTCCTTGCGAAGATGCCTTTATACACGGCAGCTTCTCTAATCCCCTTGATAAAAACGGCGAGGACTGGCTCACATGGGGTGTTTTCGACGGCCATTGCGGCTGGCAATTATCAAATCTCCTAACCAAACAACTAATCCCGTACGTCCGGAATGCTCTCGGCAATGCCAAGCCCAGGGACGGAAACCAGTTCAGCGACGAGGACATCCAAGAAGCTATAAAATCGGCTTTTACAACCCTCGATGACACCCTGGTCAAGACCGCCGCAGCAACTATCGAGGGCAACCTTTCTTTCGCAGAGAAAGTCAGAAGACTAGAGGCCGCATACGCAGGCTCGTGCGCCTTCCTAGCTCTCCTCGACCCGCAGAGTAGAAAACTCACGGTAGCGTCGACGGGGGACTGTCGAGCGGTACTCGGCCAGAAGACCGCGGACGGCAAATGGGCTGCTACGGAACTTACGACGGACTGCACAGGCGCTACCCCGAGCGAGGTCGCCCGCATCCAGGCGCAGTTCCCGGACGAACCCGAGATAGTCAAAGGTGGCCGGGTGTGGGGCATGCAGCCGTCCCGGACTTTCGGCGACGGCATGTGGAAGTGGCCCGCGGCGCTGAAGGAGACCCTTCGTGATTCTTACAACGGGCTAAGCCTGCCGTCTGCTGTGCGATACGGCGCTTACAAGGAAGGGCCGTACCTGACTGCCGAGCCGTTGGTCACCACGACCAAGATCCCGGAATCCGGTCCCTCGTTTCTGATCTTAGCGACGGATGGCTTGTGGGACGCGATGACAAGCGAACAGGCTGTCGACTTGGTAGGGAGGTGGGTCGAGTGGCAGGCTCAGGGGCAAGGAAAGCCGGTGAAACCGAAGTCGGCCGATTTTGGCGAGGTAGTTCTCGGGCGCAAGCAGCAGTGCCGGTTCGAGGAGCAGAAGCTTACGCTGCAGGACAACAACGCGGCTGTGCATCTCGTGCGCAATGGCTTGGGGGGCGGCGACGAGAAGATGGTTCAAGGCGCGCTGACGTTTAGGTACCCGAACTCGAGGGATATTAGGGACGATATTACCGTTCAGGTTGTCTTCTTTGCTCCTACGGTCGGGAAGGGGGGGGGAGTAAAGAAGTAAAGGGGGACGTAGGGGTTGGTGATGATACAGTGCATGCTCGTAGCGGGCGTTGCGTATACCCACTGGCGTTTGTTGATTTATCGGAGGTGGTAGATGGTATGTATGAAAAGGGGGTAACATTGGAATAGCCATGAATGACGGATATGAAATCTTCGGACGCTCTATAGTATTGTGCTGTGTCTTGTAAGGGTTAAGACGGCGTGGCTCGTGTATAGGTTATTACCTAGAGTTTAGTTTGAGGAACTAAAGCACTACCATCTTAACTGCCCCCTATCAGTCGGAGAGACTCCTATATGAATGCTAGGAAATACGTATATTCTCGTAAATGTCTTATACGATATCACTGAAAGAAAAAGAGCTTGATTGCTTGGCCCAACGTATTCTAACCCCGAAAGGAAACTAATAACTAATTCAGTAATAGTATCAAATGTCCAATCTATACCACTATGTATTCTACGCCGGGGCTCTTGCTTCCACACCCCTTAACCAACAATCTCTCCCCCCTTCTCCCCCCATCTATCTATCTCCCTACCTACCTACCTACCTAAGCAACACCGCCACCGCCCCAGCCAACCTAAGGCACCCCCTTATACAACTCCCTAACCTCCTCCCCATGCTCCTCCAAATGGCGCCTAAACGTGCGAAACCCCAAGCCGAAGTCCTCGGGCGGCGGGCTGGGGCTGGGGCTAGGCCAATCGGAATCCAGGCGCATCAGCTGGCCGGCGACGACCTCGCGGGTCTTGAGGGCCTCGAGGGCCTGCTCGCGCGTCCACGTGCTGACGCGGAGCGTCTTGCCCAGGAACGCGCCGAGCTGCGCGACCAGCTCGCCCAGCGTGAGGACTTCGCCCGCGAGGGGCAGTTCGCGTCGGCCGGAGGCGAAAGTTGTGGGCGAGGCGATGGCGGCGGCGGCGACGCGCCCGATGTCGCCGACGTCGATTGTGCTGAGGGGGAAGGACGCGGGGAGTGCGGTGTGCAGGATGCCTTCTTTGATTACTGGGAGGGGGGAGGGGGGGATGTAAGTACATGTATGTATGCATGCATGTATGTATGTATGTATGTTGTTATGGGCTGCTACTTGAGCGAGGTAGGGAGATGAGAGGGGATGAGAGGGGATGAGAGGGGATGAGATGGCTTACGATCGGGGACCTGGAAGTGCGCCATTTCGCCGGTGTAGTTGGACATGAACTCAGCCGGGCGCAGAATAGTATAGTGCTCGAAGCCGGCCTTCTTGACGAGGTCTTCGGTCTTGGCTACATTTATTGACCATCCCATTATCAGCACAGACCTAGGTTAGAGGAGTAACGCAGGAAGGATAGATATATATAAATATATAAATAAATAAAAGGAGACATGCATACACACCCTTGGCGCCCCAATAATTCGCAAAGAAAGGCGTGCTGTTCCACCCCTTAAACGTCTGGTACTTCTCCAGCCCAGCCACGCTGCTATACAGCACGTGGCGGACCGTTCGCGCGCGCTTCGCCGCCTCGACGACGTTGGCCGCGCCCTTGAGCTCGGCGCCGTAGTCGGTGAACGACGGCACCGACGGGAAGAAGACCGCCTCGACGCCCCCCGCGAACGCCGCGTCTAGCGCGGCCGCGTCCGTCGCCCAGTCGCCGCCGACGACGACTTCGGCGCCTAGGGCGGCGAGGGCCTGCGCCTTGGCCGACGAGGCGTCTCGGACGAGTGCGCGCACGGAGTGTTGGTGGTCTTTGGAGGCGAGGAGCGCGCGGACGGTGGCGCCGCCTTGTTGGCCTGTGGCGCCGAGGACGAGGACTTTGACCATTTTGGATGGGGTGGTGGTGGTGGTGGTGGTGGTGTTGAGATGGGGTTTATATATATATGTATGCCCCTATTTATTGAATTATGTGTGTCCAAGTGTTTCTGAGAATGAGCCGAGAGATGATGATGATGATGGTAGAGAATAGCAGCAGTCTGAGATTTATATTTATATATACTTACATACCTACCTCCTATATGTACATCCCTATTCTACTACCTTACGTCGATCCCGGTAGCAACGAGGCCAGACGCACCACCGCACCGCACCCACCCCGAGCTCTCCATACCCACGCCCGGGAGTCGTGCCCAAGGCTGGTTGCACGCATCATTCGAGCCATCAGAATCCGCCAGAGCGGTTTGACGACGAGTCCGAATCCCGAATAGGAAATACCACTATTACTTCGTGTGGACCGCTCGCTCTCGAAGACCACCCGAGTCCGGGGTGGTTATCATATGATTGGCTACGGACAAAGGAAGCCCACTTCTGTCTTACTCCATGCGTATTTCTTCTCATTTTGCATCTCAGCTTCGGGCAAGGCACATTTACAACTTCATCTTCTACGGCTCGACCGCTGTTGTTTGGAACTTGTTGTAGATACTACCCCAGTAAGGGGAACGACCAGTTAGGCTTTGACTTCCAGATCATAGCAGGCTGACTATCGAGTTTAAGACTCAACAAAGTCTACGTCTATTAGTTATAGTTTATCATCTAGTTAAAGTACAGCTAGTTATATATTGGCTTGCAGGTGTTGCCAGCTTTATTTTATCTTTAACTACTACATATCTATTAAATACTTCTAACACCAACTACAAGGACTCCGTACTCTATTCTATCACATTGCACTCAGCTCCGAAAAACATACGCAGCATTAATAGCGTTTCTGCATGCGTATACCCTCATCTTATACCCGACTCTACACCCGTCACCCGCTGAATGAATGTCTGCAGTGGCCCGGTACGTTCGGGAGGGATTTGCCCCCGAGGGCAACAATACATAACGTATAAGTGCTGAAGAACTAAATATAGACACATCACCCTTACGGCTGTAATACATACATACACCTTGGGCAAATACGACGACTGTCCATGTTACACGACCTCGGAAGCGGTAGCACGACACAGCATGTAGACGTCGAAGGCAGCACCGCGTCCGATGTATATCACCTCGCCGCATCGCTCACCAACGTCCCGCCGTGCGCCGTGATATCTCACATATCAAGTGATGCAACATGCAGCATGCCAGGCAGCCATGACTCTTCCGCTGCTTAGCTAACCTGGCATGTTAAACCAGATAGATATCATCAAAGGCGAATGAAAGGCACGGTGACGATGACGAGGCCGGTTGGAAGAAAGTCTAGACTTTAGATGCCTAGGTTAGGGGATCGAAGAATGAGTACGTATCAAGCTAGCCGCCGACTACCTCACACCTTAGGTACTTATTCTCGTAAAGTCTACCTACCTAGAATACGAATATAAAAGGCGCCTGCATACATACCTACATACCTACATACAAGGTACCTACATATGTAGGTCTTCCACCCGCGCCATTCACTGAAACAATTCTCTATAACGATTCCCTATAACTAACCAACTACCCGTAGTTTATACGCGTTTTAACGACGACCCGCTTGGAAACTCAATGTAGGTTTAGTAACCAACCAGCCAACATACCAAACACGCTTGCTTACTATATCCATCGTATTACCGCATAGGGCTGTCTATCGGATGCCGGAAGAGGGAGACTTGGAGGAAGGATCCGAGACGGGGGCTCGGTAGGGTTACATGCATGTACGTATGTACCTAACGTATACTGCATACATAGGTACCTACCTATGTATGTACTAACTAAGGTAACTAGCTGCTAACTACCTACCTATCTACCTAAGCCCCATCCGCTCACCTACATACCTACCATATAACATTGCATTAGATAAGAATAATTCGATCAATGTACATACATATGTGTCCATCGTGCTCCAACAACAAGCACAGTGCCCTTATGTACCCCCTACCTATGTAGGTAGGTAGCTTTAAGTTAGGTATGCACCTAGGTAACCTAGGCTAAGGTACATAAAATATGTAAAACCTCCCGATTCTATTTCCGGGTCTCGGAGTGTACATGCATAGCATATGTATGTATTTGTATACCCGGCATCAACCAAGATAGATACATACATACGTAGGTACCTTATGTACCTACCTAGGTTAATGCAATGTACACTACGTACTTCATACATACATGTAGCTTAATCTAGCGTTGTTTTACCAAGTCTAGTGAATCAATCTCCAACGTAGGGCTGAAAAAAAAAAGAAAAAAGAAAAAAGAAAAAAAAAAGAAAAGAAAGCGTTTATACTTTACGTAGTGTATAGGTATATTAGATGGGTTACCTTAGGCTTAGACATACATTTCTCTATCTATGTCTCTATCTATGTACCTACCCTTGCGCAATGTAATATTGAGTAACACAAACCCCCAATACGACGCCTCTTCAATATCTATCGCGGCAGAGTACCCAGCTAACTAACCCATCATATCATTTTCTCCATCAATAACAGGCAGTGACGTTTGTAGCCGTACGCCTCTGTTTCACCTAGATCCTTCAGATCCTCATACGGTTTCCCCCAAGCCTAGAGCGCAGCCATAATAGAAATAATGTACCAGCCCTATCGTCTTATCGTCTTGGCGTCTTGGCGTCTGGCTACCGGCGGCACGACCAGGCTTTTTTCAATTTATTACCCAAAAGCCACCAAGTCACAACCACATCACCAGAACAAACAGGATAGCTACCCCAACTTTTAACCTATTGAGTAAGGCATTCGATTCTATGTCATTTCTAGGCGCATCTACCTTTCAACACCGGCAAGGGAGAAACACATGCCGTCGAGTAGATAGAAAAAATACAAACGCTGTTTTGTGAATTCTCGCTTTTTGTGTGCTCGTCTTGGCCGTCAGTTTGTTCCCCAGGGCGGCTCGCCACTCTTTATGTCCTTCCGAGACCTCGCGCCAAAATACCTTATGATTTGCCCGCATTTCCCAACCTTTACCCCCAAACACCGTACGCCTAAACCCGCATAAATGAAAGCCGATGGCCGCCTCCCAAGCCATCCGCAGGCACCAATAAACCAATTTGCGGAGGAAAAAAAAAAGACACGTAAGAAGGGAATCCGTTTGATGCGAAAGGAGACCATTAAAACCAGATATTATGTGCTACTATGTCGTATGTCGTAGAGTGTCATGTCGACCGACCCGAGATCTTCCCATCTCTCGCGTTATTTGCAGTGCTATGGTATTTTTTACGAACCAGTGCTAATTTCGACTTGCTGAATAAAAAAAAAGACAGACGAAAGGGGGTTTGCAGGTAATAGGTTTATGCGTGGCCTACAAGATGGCTAGATGACCTTGTCCGAAGAATTGAAAGATTGTAACATTTTGCTAGTACGTGGCGAAACCGCGTCTGGTGCCTTACGGTTCGTTAACCTCAACTGGCCGGCAAGCTTGTTTGAGGGGCGAGGCCTTGCTATTCTTCTCATCCATAGACTCCTCTACGCTCGCATTGGTACTAGGCGGGCTGCTACTCTGTGGGCTACTCTGCTCCATGGTGAGCGACGGAGTAGGCGCAGCTGAATTGACATCGACTAATAGATTCGGCGTAGTAGGGCTGGTAGCGGTCGAGCTTGCGGACATCAGCCTATCAAGAGCTGTGATTTGTCGTCCGGTGCTGTACTTCTTCAAGTTCGCAAAGTGAGGCCTCATCTCCTCTATAAACGACTCGCGGTCCGGTCCTTCTAAATGTTGCATAAGTTTCTCTGTCTATCGGTTAGTTATGACGTGGTACTGAACAGAGTACGACTTCGAACTTACGGATCACGTAGTTTCCAAACTGATCCTTCATCATGAGCTGGAGCGGGCTAGTACCGTCACTGTGCAGAGCCGTAATTTGACACCTGATTGCCCTCCGATCCTCCGTCGTCCCGTACTCAATCGACTTCTCTACCACATTCGATGCGAATTTGTGCTTGGAGAATATTATCAACTTTTGGAGCACCAGTTGAATTATTTTCTGCCGATCTTCCGGTTCGCCTTGGGCGATGATATGTTGGGTGACATAATTTCCGTACTGGTCCGTTATAAGCTTGGCCGCGCAGGCGTGAAGATCCGTCATGAGGCTTTTCTTCTCCGCTTCGGTTCCGTACTCGAGGATTCGCTGGATGACTCTGCATCCGTAGTTGTGGGATGCTAAGGATTCAATTTGGTTTTGGAAAGCATCCATAATGAAAGGAATGCATTGCAGAGGTACCATCTGGATGATCTTTTGGATCACATGATTTCCGTTCTGGTCTTTGACGATCCGCATAATGTCAGGCTTAAGCTCTTCCACGATCTCGTGCTGCTGTTCGACAAGCACGTGTTCAAGCGCCTGATAGCCAGTTAGCAGCTTGTTTCTAGTGTAAGATTGTTCACCCTAAGACTTACCTTCTGTACAACACGGCACGCATACATCTGAGTCGAAAGCTCTGCGACCTTTCCTTTCATCTGCGATGCAATTATCTTCTTCTGGACTTGATTTCCGTGCTCAAAGAATTTCTGTATGACGTAGTTGCCGAAGACGTCCTTCATGAGTTGAAGTGTGTTCGGTTCGATTTCTCGGAACACTTGGTCCTTCTCATCGCTGTTTGCAGTCTGAAGTTTTTCCTGTATGAACCGCGAGCCATGCTGATCGCCGCTAAACTCGACGATGTGGTTGTAGATATCCTACGTCTTGGTTAGTCCTTGAATCTGCTATCGTTTAGGTATACTGCAACATACCTTTAGTTCGTAGCGCTTGTTAGACTTGGCGTTGCCCCGAAACTCCTCAAGAAGCACGCTACGAACGCCTTTGCCAGGATCTTGGTCCCTGCTAGGTCTCACAGGAACCGAAAGGTTGGGAAAATTCATTTGTAAATTGTATGTCGGAACCTGCATTGCAGGACGGAAGCCCGAGTTCTGTGCATATTGGTCGTAAGGGGTTGAGAACTGAGAGAGGTTGCCACCGTAGTAAGATGTCTGAAATAAGGGTTGCGGGTGTACGTATTGGGAGCTCTGCGGTGCCCGCTCAAGGTCTTGAAGAACCCTCGGGTCCCGCGAACCTGGTCTGTTCCATGTGTCAGCCCTCGGGTTTGGAGTGCCTGACAGAGCCCTAGGACTATTGACGCTAGGGCGATACGCTGCTCTTTCGGCAGATGATCCTCGTTCGCCCGGGC